GGGTTTAGGGGTAGGGTTTAGGGTGTAGGGTTTAGGTTTAGGGTTTAGGGTTTAGGGGTTTAGGGTTTAAAAGGGTGTAGGATTTAGGGCCCAGGGTTTAGCATTTAGGCTTCTAGGGTCTTTAGGATTTAGGGCTTCAGTTCGCGATTCCCTCCAGAGGTGCTCAAAACATCAGTGTGGAACCGTATGTAATGCATCCCTTCTGCACATCAACCCACCGTTTACAAGGAGACTCGTCTATTTCCTTTCAAGGCATTTGAACCCTTGCAGGACCATACGGTTCACCGCAAAACCTCTAAACCCCTGGATCCCCACCTAAACCCTACACCCTACACACTGATTAGACTAAGACCTAAACCCTAAGCCCTAAAGCCCACACCACAAGATCCTAAACCTAAACCCTACACCCAACACCCGCAACCTCAGACCCAAAGCCCTAAATCCCTAGGCCCTACGGTGGATGATATAAACCCTGCATTACCCATAATCAGGAAGATACCATAATTCCCATAGTTTAGGGTCCTTAAGGTATTGCAGGATTTGTATCATCAACAGTAGGATCCCGAAAGAAGCCCAAGCACCCTAAACCCTCGAGCAAGGCCGGGGTCGCCGCAGGAGCAGCCGAAGGTATGTATTTAGCTTGGCATGCTCGGTGATCCTGGCTTGGGGTTTAGGGTTTCGGGTTTGGGGTTTAGGGGTTTAGGGCTTAGGGCTTTGGGGCTTAGGGTTTGTGAATCTTAGGGCTTCGGGCTTTAGGCTGTCGGAATTTTGGGCGTTGAAGGTGGGATTTCGGGTTTGGGCTGCTGGGCGCTGCTGAGGGTTTAGGGATTCAAGGGTTCAAGATCTACCTTGGCCCCAAGGATCCTTCACTTTTAGGGACTTACCCTTGGCATCAGAATAGCCCTAAAGCCTTTTATGATAGGGTCTTTGGGCCCAGAAGCCTTAAACTATGAGTCCTTTGAGGGTAAGGGTTATATAAACAAAGCATAACAAGGAGCCCCCCCCCAAAAAAAAAAAAACAAGGGAGGTTCTTTAAGGCTCCAGGTCGGGTTAGGCCTGTGGGATCGAGGTCTTATAGGGCTTGGTGATCCTGGCGGTTTGTGGGCTTCAGGGCTGCTTAAGCAAACCCTGACCCTAAGGATCCGTGTATCCATAATCTACCTTGGCCCTAGAGTATTATATCGGGCCTATTTTATGGCCTAAGTCGAATGTAGGGGCCGTACTAATCAAGGCCCCTATGTTATACCAACTCATATATGAGTACATGGACCCTCAGGGTTGTATTAAAGGAAATAGAAGCCCTGAAACCCACTCTGGAGAAATCCCCCCGCAACACCCGCAATACCTGAAGCGCAATGCCCTCAATTCAGATGTATGCCTCTATCTACATGTTTAGATCTATATGTATACCTTCAGCCTGAAGCTATGTTCGTGAATTGATTTGGGTATTGGGCTGTTTGGGAAGCCTTCAACGCAATAGCTCCGTTGCAGTTCCGCAGCGCTGCGCTGGGTCTAGTCCCCAGACAGGTTTAGGGTGTAGGGTAAGCGAAAGCAAGCCAGTGGTGCAGAGTGGCATGGCCTCCAGGCGCAGAAGGGTTCTTACGTGGAGGGTCGAGGGACAGAGTAAGTATGTTCTTTGGAGGCTTATAAGCATCATAACTCCAATGAGGATCCTGCTTAGAAGTCTATACATAATACCTGCTTATGAAGTCTTCCGATCCTCCAAGTGATCTTCCCAAAACTCCAAGACTGTATGTGACCCTTACCAAAGTAGGGGCCCAATGCCTTCCTAATATGAGCCCCTACCCTAAGCCCTAAACCCTAAGCCCCTATGATATGGGTAGTTCTCTACATTATGGTCCCTTTTTGGGTCCCCAAAATAATACGGAACACCCTAATTTGAGAGAACTACCCTAAACCCTAAACCCTAAACCCTAAACCCTAAACCCTAACTTGGAAGTTCAGTTCATCCCTAAGGAACCTCGGGCCTCTTAGGACCCAGATTTGGGGGTTTAGGATTTAGGGTTTAGGGTTTAGGGTTTAGGATTTAGGGTTTAGGCTTTAGGGTTTAGGGTTTAGGGGCTTGGGGTTTACGGTTTAGGGGTTTAGGGTTCGGGGTTTAGGGTTTAGGGTCTTGGGGCTCAAAAGCAGATTAGATAAGGCTCGGGGGCTATGTTGAGTGTATGAGTAAGCATTCGCAGTTAAACCCGGTGGCTGTTTCGAAACAACCTAGCCCCTAAACCCTAAACCCTAAACCCTAAACCCTAAACCCTAAACCCTAAACCCCCTAAAGGCCACATATCCGGAAATCTTAGCAAGGAGCACTAAAGACTTAGGCTGTAGGGCGAAGGTAAACTCCCAACCCTCAAGACTGTACTCTAAAACCCCTACACCCTCATCCCTAAAGACTGCATTCCTGGCTGAAGGAACTCACTCCAAAAAGCTCTCCAACCCAGGTTCTTTTGCTTGGGTTTTCTAGTTTGTTTCCTGAGATCTTGTTAAGGAAGTCAATTGTAGTTACATGTCGTTACCACAACAACGAACCAATATTACTTACTGTAGACCCCAACTATGGTAACATAAACCGAGCTGTTCAACGAAAATCCAGATACAGTAAGGGGTTGGGGTTGCTTTATGTTTAAAGTCTTATTCAAGGTTCATGCTTTATCGTTAAGGGTTTGTGGTTTGGGCATTGAGGTTGAGTGTGTTTCCCTTAGCATTGAAATAGCCGAGAAGCCTTATATAATCGGGCCTTTGGGCCCAAAAGCCGTAATATATGAGTCCTTGGAGGTTTAGTGTTTGGGGTTTGGGGGGAGGCTGACAGGCTACCCTGTTTTTTCCTCCAGTTGAAAACTGAGCACCGAGATGAATACATCCGCATGGCCCACGGTTTAAGGTTCAGGGTTTAGGGTTTGTTGTTGTCAGGTTGGCAAAGGGAGGATCCCGTACGCTTGAATTCCCATGCATGGCTTATCAAGTTCGATGTCGTCTCGCTCCAACGCGCGGAGAGATTTCTCGCTCAGCTGGGTCCCTTTGCTGCCGCGCGGGTAACCTCGTGTCAGATACTGCGCGGTAGCCACATAAAGGCCTCCGCAGGGCGCCAGTAGCGCCGCAGCGGCGGCCTTCGCGGCCCGTAAACTGAGCAGGGGCCCGGTGGCGACAGTTCCCATGAGCCTTATAAGAGCCCTGGGCTGTACGGGGGCGCTGGTCGGCTCCGTCAGCGGGTTAGCCAGGCCATCTCCCTTGCATGCTCGCTGATGTCCAGCCCATCGTGCCCCTCAGTGAAGGACACAACGGGCCACGGCGAGCCGGTTTCCGGTGCCGGCCGGCCCAAGTGAGTGGACCACCCGTGCGCCCTCGCATGCTGATGGAAGCACATGTGTTCAAGCCAGGGTTTAGGGTTTAGGGTTTTTCTGCTTCAATATTGGATTTCCATGGGGCCACGTATCTGCTCTACAGAACAGTCAGAGAGTATCGGGCTCCGGGGATACAGAGATCAGCTAACTCCGGAAAACCGGAAGCACTACATTAAGCTGAAATCGTTCAGGGTTTAGGGTTTAGCGTTCAGGCATCATAGCGCACAGATGCTCAATAAGCATGAACTGAATTCCAAAGGCTCTAAGGAATCTCACAAACAGATAAGTTTCTAGCCCTAAACCCTGAACTCCTCAACCCTTCGATCCCGAAGCACGTCCCAAGCCATAGAACCCTTGTGCAGTCCGTATCAGATCCAGAAACAGAAGCTCTCCTATAGGCTCCATATATATCGAATTAGGCCCCTAAAGCTCTAATAAGGATGGTCTTTTGGGCCTACCTCCATACTGGTACTATATATGGAGCCTCTGGGTATTATCTGGCTCCCTGTTGGGGCTATATTAAAGATGATCATGTTTAATTAATCCCTATTAGGTTTTATTCTAGCAAAAATCTAAAATTGTAGCCAAAAAACCCAGTTATAGCACCGCGATAACCCTAAACCCTAAATACTAAATCCTGAACCCTAAACCCCTTCTTCCCCGCCTTGCGTGTCGAATCCGGGGCGGCCAGCTCGTCCGAAGATCTGCTGCACATCGAGGATGCCAAGGTCCTTTCATTCATTCCATGGGCTTAGGGTGTAGGGTTTTAGGGTTTGGGGTTTAGGGTTTAGGATTTCGGGGTTTAGGTTTTTCGGGTTTTAGGGTTTAGGGTTCTTTTTGGGGCAGGCTTCCTTGAGGGTTCCTGAATAAACATGGGCCCTTTCGTTGTGGCTTTATGGTGGCTCCGTGAAGAGCTCTGCTAGGCTTCCTTTCCCTTAGCATCAAAATAGCCCCAAATCCTGATAGTAATAGGGTCTTGGGGCCCAAAAACGCTAAACCCTGGAACCTAAACCGTAAACTCCCAAAAGCCTTAAAACATGAGTCCTTTGAGGGTAAGGGTTTACGGCTCTACTACGCGGCCCAGGTCTCCGATCCAAGATGGGCCCTGGTGAGGGGCGTGAACCTTCGAATACCTTTACCCTCAAAGGACTCGGTTTAGGGTTTAGGGTTTAGGGGGTCACGGCTTCTATTACCTTTACCCTCAAAGGACTCATAGTTTAAGGCTTTTGGGCCACAGACTCTATTATATTCGGCTCTTGGGCTA